CGGCGGGGCTATGAGAAGCAGAACGACCGTGAGACTCGTTCTAGCAAGGGTGGGAGCTCGGGCGGGTGCCTGGAAACTGTCCCCAAGAGCAGACGCGAGTTTGCCGAGCGGTGTTGACATGCCTGGAGCCCTGGTGATTTGCAGCCACTCTATATCCGTGGGTACGCGCGTTCGTAGATATAGATTCTGTTTCCGTGCAGGGCTCTAGACCTGGGCAAGAGGTAAGCGGCTGGTTGTAGCAGATCCCGGTATATGGCATACGCTCCAAGATTTAGGAGCATTTATGTATGGGTTAAAATGCGTATATGTATTTGTGTGAGGAAGAGGTTGGTTATGTAAATACATGAGGGCACAGTGGGATATGTATTTAATTAAATTTCAGTGGGTAAGGATGTGGGCTTACAGTTGGACTTCCCTTTTTTTTGTATCTTTCCAAGAATAAAGAAGCCTTGAGACAGTTTTTAAATCTTCACTTGCTTCCACTCTGCATAATATATAAATCAATGTAATTTTATTTGTGTAAGTCCCAGAGGCCCTCCAACTAGGGATAGTCTTCTTGAAGTCTTGGTAATCTGAACTTCTAATTCCAAGAAATCCTGTGGCCTGTGTTATGAAGGTCAGAGACTAGAATGGATAATTAGTTGACTATCTACTAAGCCAGTGTTTCTCAACTTTTTTATGAATACCCCTTTAAAAAAATTGAGTACCCCAGTATCTGCAGTTTTCAGACACAACTTTTTCTACCATTGCGGCACATTTGTTTAAACATCTTAATCGTGGGTGGGTGATGAAATTTTTGAGTGTAAAAAATACAAAAATAATAAAGCGCTGTAAAACTTAAATTCAGTTTTCTCCAAATTTCAGTTGTTGGCATACCACTCTCCCTCAACTTCTCAAGTACCCTTAAGGGTACTTGTACTACTGATTGAGAAACACTGTGCTCAGCAAAAGCTTATTGGCTAGGTTGACTAGTTCCTTGACTACTTGCTTTCTCTCTCCCT